CAAGGCTGACTGGTTCATTGAAAGTCATCCATATAATCAATTTTGCTATAGTTACTAACCGATAAAACTGGACCAGGTTCTTACCATGTTACAAGCTGGTTAAAGTAAACAATGTAGATGACTGTACTCCAATTCAGTATCTTGAACATTGTATATTCCTTTAAAGATCAAAATTATTCGGTTGAGTTCCAAGTGAGATTGCTGTTGCCCAGTCCTGATGATTCTCAAATAAAAACTTCATTGTCATATAGTTTTCAGTGTTTCTTCAGTTGGTTTCGGTCTGTAATAAGAAATAATCACTAATATATGGTTATTTTTTTTAATAATTCTACTTCGTATTCGGTCATGTTTCCTCATTTCTTTTGAATTGTCATTGACTACACATAATATATAGAGAAGTTAAGGTATTTCGTGATAATCATTTTGTCGTGTTAGTAACAATTTGTTACTTGATAAATAATTCATAAGTGCTTATTGCTTTTATTAGGTATTTTATTTCATTAGCAATAATTCAGTTAGATGGTTAGTTTTCCAATCTTTTGACATATATTTTTATTATCAGAAGAGGTTTGTGGAGATTTTAGAAATTTTCACAGATTGAAATCATGAGTCAATAAAAGCTAGACCACCATTGAAAACCTGGAAGCACTGGACGGTCGTTTCGTCCTAGTATGTGACTCCTCAGCAGTGCGCATCCAAGATCCCGCACTCCGTGAGATTCGAACCCAGGACCTACCAGTCTCGCGACAGGCTCTGCTCAGGAGTCCATACTAGGACAAAACGATCGTCCACTGTTTCCAGGTTTTCCATGGTGGTCTAGCTTCAATTGACTCATGATTTCAATCAGTGAAATTTCTAAAATCTCCACAAAACCCCTTCTGATAATAATCAACTGCTCACTAGTGACTGACTTCAAGAGATACTCCTGGAGTTCTAGTGGGAAGCCGTTACCAGTGGAGTTCAACCAGGTCTGTTGTGAGATATCAGCTCACTGTAGACAACGGTATATGGTGGCGCAACTTCGTGGATTGGTTGAAGTTAGACATTAACACCGTTGGATGCCGGCTCAGTGGCATATATTTTTATATTTATGTTTGTCGAAACAACACTATTGTATCATTCACCATAAGAATGTGGACTAATGTAGAAAAAAAAATTAGACATGATTGTAAGAATGTGTGCGGAGATCGATACGATAATTCAATAAACCTTTGAATAAAGTTCCATACCATTTTAGTCTGTAGTATTTAAGGTCTTAGACATTTGTTTGTACTGATACATTAACCAGAAATAAATATTTATTTTCATTAAATACGTTTAAAGACTTGAAGATGAAGTAATCGACTGAATAGGTTACATTTTTTGAGACAACTATGCATTGATCATTGATGAACAAAACTTGGCTCATTTATTTCATATAAGTCTTTTCGAAGTAAGTCAGTCATAAGCAGAGTAGAACCTGTCATATTTGCATTAATAATGAGGTTTGTGCTTGTTATGGATGCAGAATAATATACCAATAATTATCGTGTTAAGTCTAACGGTGACCTTGGACTTTAAATGGACATTTCCCATTGGTCGATATTTGTTTCACTTGTTAAATATTGTGTAAATGTTGTTTTCTATTTTATGGTACGATGTGGTTTGTTTGGTTAGTATATAAATATAGTATGTCTGAAATAAAATGATTCATATCTCAGAGGCTGTGACTTGTGTTCTGGACTCAACTGGCTGGGTTAGACAGCGAAGCGGGGCCAATCAGGGCGCTAGGTCGTCCATACGTGTTTTACGTGTTACTGTGATCGATCGATAAAACACTGCTTATCAAAACCTGCAGTCACCCGTTACAACAGTGCTACTGAAGTCGACAGATATACGTAATATGTATCATCAATCCAAAGTAAAATTTCTGGCGGCAGAAGGTTAAGAAGTTCAAAGAAAAGAGAACGAGAACAGAGAATGATTTCTGTGGAAATGAAGGAACAGTGAAGTCTGAGACGATTGTTTGATATTTTGCAAATGAAGTACTTACTGTATGGATCTCAGATTTTATTAAGTGATTCTGTTTGTTTGTCTCCACTTGTGTTCTCGTTCATTACAGTGGTAGTAAGAAAGATTAAGTATAAACAATATGATTCGAGAAAAAAGAATAAATTCTTGGAGTGTAAAGTATAAGATAATTTTAAAACGTAATTGTGATGATGGACCACCGGTGAACTCGAGGAAGCTGAAGGAGGCTCAGAAGGACCCGAAGACGTCTCATCCAGTCACCTTTCAGAAGAATATTCTAGAATTCCGACGTGTAGCTTCCCGATTGGATAATGCTAATAACCCCCTGTATGCGGATTGGAAGACTGTAATGATGATTTCGTTCTCACTAAAAACTATAAATACCTGACAGTTTTGTACTATGAATGACACTGGTTGGAATAATATTCCTTTGATTGGTCTTCTGTCTTCTTACTGCGACTTGGAAGGGTTTTGGTGTTCTAGTGCTCAGTTATTCGCGGTATATCGAGAAATCAACCTTTAAGATATAACAGTAATATTTACGGGTCAACAATAGGTGAATGCATCATTACTATGGCGACTGATTTTCACACAACATTTTCAACTACTGTGTACGATAATCTTTTGAAGTACTTACTGGTCATTTAATTTGAAATCTTTTTAAAAATATCATTAAAAGACTACTATGTATGCCTTTATTCATTCATCTTTAAAATATGCATTTTGGAAAGAGATTGATAAATCGAAGTGTTTAATATAACTAAGAAATATGTGTATTGGAGTTTCAGTGTAAAGTAATTTTGGTCGAAAAATTAAAGTAAGCTAAAGGAATGTTGGATTGTTTTCTTTTTTCAGATTGAACATTTAACCATCATCCTTCTATTTCGTCTATAATCAAACTGAAAACAGCTTAGATCTTCTTATCCCCATATTAGTATTAGACTAAAAAGGTTAGTATTCATCCGTATACATTGGTCTAATTTATTAGAACTGTCTTTGTATTTAACGAAGTTCTCCAGTTAGATCTTAAGATTGGTTATATATGAATTAAACAAAATTTTAGGTAAATCGAAATAAAAATATAGTCTACTGTTTAATAGTGGTTCGCCAATTAATGTTGGTTAATGCTTTAACGCTGTTTGAATATCATCGATTGATCAAATGAATAAAATAAGACTAGAAAATAATTTACACAACACATTAACTAAAACCAGTTCATAATATAGACAAAGAAATTCGGCTATCTGCAGAAAGCCCTTACGCCAATAATATTATAAATCACTTGCTCACTAGTGACTAACCTCAGAAGTTAATTTCATCGGTTGTGGTGAGAATCAGTAACCAGTTTAGTTAAATCGTGTCGTGTGTGAGGTAACGATTGTAATAGGAGATAGTTGTCCAATACAGTGAAGTCATTGAAGCTGGAAATATGAACTATTGGATGCTAACTAACTAGTCTAAAAACTAAGTCCTCGCTATGAAACATGAATGTCATGGATTCGATCTCAAATGCGGTCATTGGGAGACGAATCTGAAGAGTCCCAACCTAGGATGAAACGACTGTCCAATGCCTCGTCCTTATTAAATTATTGTCTAGCTAAGGTCAGTTCGTATTGTACACCACAAAGTTCAGCTATCTACACAAACCTCTTACATTAAAAGTGAAACTAGCTAGGTGATTATTAAGCACTAGTGACCACCGAATAATTATTTCGTTTCAATTTCGAACGCCTCATCGGTGGGCATCCACGATGTCATATGGGGCCAAACCTAACGCTTTCAAGTCTCATAACTAGAGAACAGTTACACCACAAATTTGGAGTTCATGTTTCTAACATTAGTCTGTTCACTTTACCCATTAATTTGCGTCGAAAAAAAGCGTGGTTTTATTTTTGACAAGTTTTTCTAATGCTTTCCTATTATTTAATATGATATTTAGCTTAATAGGAATTGATATTTATATACTTGAATGATAGTTGGAAGTAATTTGCTTCTAACCAATTTTTTTTTAAAACATACATGTTAATTTTATATAAGTATGCAATCTAACTGAAACGTTTTACACTAACTGTTTTCATGATTCGATTAGACAGTTTCACGACCTAACAGCTGAATTCATGAGTCAATTAAAGCTAGTCCACCATCGGGAACCTGGGACGGCCGTTTCGTCTTAGTATGGGACTTCTCGGCAGTGTGCACCCACGATCCCGCCTCGCGAGACTCAGACCCAGGACCTATCGGTCTCATGTGCGGACGCCAAACCTCTAAACCACTGAACTAGCATCCAACGGTGCTAATGTCAATCTCAGCTTCACAACTATTATGTCTTCAGATCAAACCAAACAGTCAAATAGAAAAATATAATTTATATTCAATGACATGAACAAATTTATAAATTATTTTGAATGCAACTAATAATAGAACAGGGAAATCTTTGACTAACCAGTTATTTTCAGCACAGAATATCAGGCTAAATCTGACCGGCATGTCATATTTGACTGTTTGCTTTATTGAATAATTTTTCCATAAAAAAGATTTATATCTCCCAATACTAATCAAGTTATCTGGATAATGTTGATTAGTCACGGCTGACTTTTTCAGTAATTCTTATATTTGTCTAGATAAAAAGTAAAATATGTGTATAAGATACCTTCGTATGTATTGTATGCCAAACGATTGGCCGTTTTCATTCAATTCTTACCAAGTGCACAGAAAATTTTTGTATGAACGTAAATCTTATTGGTTAATACACTGTGCAAAAAATCAATAATTTTTCCCTGTAATAGGCTAGAACCTAAATACTGTATGAAAAAAAGAGATTACTTCTACTTCAGGTAGATTTTTAAAAGGAAGTTGTTCTATCCAAACAAAACCCTATCATTATAACTTTCTAGCAGTACATATATATATATATATATATATATATATATATATATATATATATATATATATATATATATATATATATATATATATATATATATATATATATGAGCAAGAAAACTCATCGTCATCATCAAAATACAGAGAGACCTACCTTTCAAAAATTATTAACTAAAGGTAAATCTCATAAATCCAATTCAAATATAAATACAGTTCAACATTCAAATAATTCTGAAGTAAATCAAAAATATTCCGAACAGAAAAAATTTCAAGTCATCTCTCAAAGATTTCATTATATCATGAATAAAAGGTTTCTATTATCTTGTTCATTAATATCATTCCTTTATTTATGTATTGTATTAATAAAATCTACAAAGTTTGAAAATAAATTCAATCATAATGAAAATGGTAACAATGAAACATTACCAAATTCTTTATATGTAACATTGAATGCTAACAAAGAGATCCATAATCAAGATTTCAATCATGAATTAAATGATGAATATGATTTACGTCAGAAAATATCTTTATTGAATAATCCAAATTATTTAATGCCAACATTATGTATTGGTGTATTAGTTCGTAACAAAGCTCATACATTACCATATTTTTTAAATGGTATAGAAAATCAACAATATCCAACTAAACGTATTACATTAATCTTTTATGTTGACAATACAATTGATTCAAGTGAGATCATATTAAATGAATGGATTCAATGTAACAAAGATAAATATCATAATATAATTTTTGAAGGTAAAAATCGTAATATAACTAAGTTAGAGTATGAAAATTTAAGTAAAATGTGGACTCAAGATCATTATTTACATGTTATAAATTTACGTCAGAAATTATTAGATGAAGCACGTAATATCTGGGCTGATTTTTATTTATCTATTGACGCTGATGTGATTCTTATGAATCCATTGACTATTGAACATTTAATAAATGTTATGCTTGATTCAACAGTATCTACATCTAAATCTAATTTAGATAATAAAATTAATGAAAATATAATTATTTTGGCACCATTGATGAATTGTACATCATCTGAACATTATTCCAACTTTTGGGGTGCTATGTCTGAAGAAGGTTACTACCTACGTTCAGAGCATTATTTTGATATACAAAAACGTCGTATACAAGGTGTATATCCTGTGGCAATGGTACACTCGATATTTTTAATTAATTTACAGTTTTATCAATCTGAACAAATTGGTTATTCTCCTGCACCAATAAATTATACAGGACCAATTGACGATATTATAATATTTTCTAGATCAGTACAACGTGCAGAAATTGATTTTTATTTAGATAATACACAATTTTATGGATATATTCCATCACCGGTTGAAGAACAAGATCTTGGATTATATTCAAAAGATTTAAATAATGCATGGCTTTTGCGTGAACAAGATCTATTTGTTCATTTACGTTTACAAGCAATTATTGATCAAGAGGATAAACAAAGAGTTATACCTTCAGAATGTTTATTAAATATTGCTGAAAATCAATTACCTAAGTCAAATAAATTAAATTTTGATGAGATTTATTTTATAAATTTATTGAGACGCCCTGATCGTCGACAAAAAATGGAGTATATGCTTCATCAGTTAGGTATAAATGCTAAACATTATGCAGCTATTGATGGAAAAGATTTAACTATGAAATATTTTGATGAATTAGGAATTAAACAACTTCCGGGTTATACAGATCCTTACCATAATCGGTCGTTGAAATTTGGAGAAATTGGTTGCTTTTTAAGTCATTATAATATATGGATTGTATGTTGAATTTTGTAAACTTTTGTAATTAATTTAGTTAATAATTTAAAATAACCACTTCATGTCATTTTACATGATAAGTATATTTATAGTACCAGACTAGGGAATACAATATAAATTTATATACTTTAAACTATAGCTTTAGTGATTAAATCGTTTCATTTATTTATTTAAACACACGAACATTGGTACAAGAGGGCATCGCACTTCGTCATTTGATTTGTGTGAAAGCTGGAATACTACCCGAATGCCCAAACACGAGCAGGTGGTTTTCTTAGGGGGGGAACACTCCCGGATCTATTGACCTAAAGGTCCAATCCACAAGTCAGTGGGGCAACGTAGGGAGATGCAGTTCCATGGTAGCCGGTGACCAACAATAGGTTCATACGCAATTTGTTTCCTTAGGATCCTGGAGTCCATGTACACCACTGGCTGGGAATCAGGATTTTCCAACTCCTCTAGGTGGGTCTTCCGTGTCCACCAACCCGGTCAAAGCACCGGACATGCGCATTTCGTCCTCTCATTTTCGCAGAGAACAACCCCGCCGTGAGAATGCAATGAATAGGACTAACCTGACAGTGGCTGTATACGCGTGACTATATGAGAGCATTTCGATAGGGAGAGCTGACACTCCCCACCTTTGGCCATACACAGCATTCATGGGTTATTTAAACACAGAAATCGTAAACATTTCTTATTCAAAATTGTTATATGGTAAAAATTATTTGTAAAAATCTCATAGAAGCTGAGAAATGTTCAATATACATATTGTGTTCCAGATAAATTTCACAAATTGATGTATTTGTACACTTTCTAATTCTGATCAGTCTGATTTCTAAACCATTACTAACTTTGAAGCTTCTTCTAGAAGCTGGCAGAAATCAAAAGTCGTTAGTTGATTTAATAAGTAACTTTCGATTTCTTTATCTCAAAAACCTTTGATTTTTCGGTCAGCCTAAAGTGTGTAGTTCCTGTTGTGGTGAGATTTTTGGAGTGGATTACCAAATCGATAAACCATATTTTCGGAACTGAAACAAACTAATGATTATTGTCTCAACTTTAAATGTACTGAAATTAAAAACTTGAGTTATCTCCGTTCAATTTTTTTAAAATAAAATGTTAATTTCCTAGTACAGAACATATGAAACAACATATCTTTGATGGATAATGTTTTGTGAAGCATTTATATTTCACTTACGCATATATATATATATCACTTAATATGTCTTAATTCCGATGTACATGTACCATTTCCTGTTAGAGGATAGATAAGCAGAGGAATATGTTCAGTGGTCGATAACATATGATACAAGGTAACAAAATTATCAATACGTCACCTGAAAATGAACTAAACAGAAGCGGATTTAACATATAAATTGTCAATATTATTAGTTGTGTAAGACCTTAGAGTTATTTATTAATAAATTATGAATATACTCACTAGTGACTGGCTTCAAAATGGATTTTCTGGACTTCTGGTAAAAACCAGTGACCAATGGAGTTCAATCGCATCGGATGTGAGGTAATTACCCACCAAAATGTATATTAAACTATCATTTGTTATAGTTTGATTAAGAATCATTCTTGTCAATATTATCAATGCTCGTTTCACATGGAAGTGAACTGACAACCTAATTATTCAGCCATGTACTTAATAATATCACTAAAAGAATCTGTCCGAACTAATCAAGTTTCTTTATTATTTCAAAACATTAAATTTCTTAAATTTCTTCGTAAACTATTCGTATTTTTGAGGTTCAGTCAATTTATATTTGAATTGTTTTTTTTAAAATTTATTTCTAGGAAATGATCAACAATGGTTATAATCGTATATTAGTTCTTGAAGATGATCTACGTTTTGCTCCTGCTTTTGTTCGTAATTTAAATAAAGTTATTAAAGAAGCAGATGAAAATGTTGCTAATTGGGATCTACTCTATATTGGTCGTAAAAGAATGTCAAAATCAGAGAAACGTGTACCGAATACAACTAGTTTAACTTATCCTGATTATACTTATTGGACACTTGGTTATATTTTAAATAGAAATGGTGCAGAAAAATTATTAAAACAAAAACCATTACAAAAATTAATTGCTATTGATGAATATCTTCCAGTTATGTTTAATAAACATCCTAGAAAAGATTGGTTAGTTCAATTTGAACCACGAAATTTAATTGCTTTATCTGCTGAACCACTATTAGTTGAACCACAAAGGTATACAGGTGAAAAACTTTATGTATCTGATACAGAAGACTCTGAAATTTTCCATAGTAATTAAATAATATTTAATGATTCTTATTAAAGTATAGAATAATGAAATGATATTGTATATTTTCCTTAGAATTTGTACATTCCTTAGTAGGATTTATTTCATTTTTGTTTTAAAAAGGAATAATAAACATTGTCCATTGAAAAAGACATTTAATGTTACAGATGGATATTAAAAAAAATGAAGAATATTTGAGTGAACAATTGTTTTCATCAACTTCATCATCAAGCTCTACAGTTCTAAGTCCATAATTATAATATTTTACAAAGCCGAAGCCATCTGGATCAACTCCAGAAGACCAAATCTATGTATCCAGAAAAAAATATATCCAGCCTCTTTGTTTACCTTGGCCTACTACTGGATCACCGAATACCTAGACTGAATATTATAAACCTCCTTTATTCTTATTTATTTAATTTTCTTCCTTATCATCATTATTTTTTGATAATCTCTATCTTAATCTTCACATCCATCATCCCCAATTCGTTTATTGTAATTACCTTGATAACACCCACCTTATTACATATTATATTCACACAACAATCTTATTATTGTTATCTCAATTGACAAGATTAAATTCTCGTACTATGCATTTTATTCACACAATTTTTTACATTTTCATTTTTGCTATAATACTATCCTATTTATTGTGAGTGGACACTTTACTCCAAATCATCCTGACCTTTATTGAATGACCTTTCTAATTTGTTAAATAATACAATTTTGAAGTATATATATATATCGTAACAGATGCAAACGTTTACCTTTTTTTAACACATAACCTTGTCAAATTCATTAATACATGCCTTATTTTTGGCCTTTGTAAAGTATAATAATTATGGACTTAAAACTGTAGCGCCTATTGATGAAGTTATTGAAAACAATTGTTCACTCAAATATTCTTCATTTTTGAATATTCTATGGGGATTTTTAAACAGATGGATATAAGTTTAAAAATAAATGCATCTTGTTTAAAGTTATTCTAATATTTCAGTAAAATTCATGGTGTCAAGAAGAGAATATTAGCTTTTTTTTATTTGGCTGGTAATTTTACAGGGGATTTTAAAAAGGGAATTCCTTTATTGTAAAATATACGTCTATAATTTATTTATTTATTTGAACACATAAATATTGGTACAAGAGAGCGCCAATATATATGCGCCACACAAATTATAGACAGTTCATCATATTTGTGTGGGGGCTGTGATACTGCCGGGTGCCCAGACCGAAGCAGGTGGTTATCTTAGGTGGCCTCATTTTCGTAAACAACACCACCGCCACGAGAAGGCAATGAGTAGGACTTCCCTGGCAGAGGCTATACTATACTATACACTATAATTTTTAAGAAAGTGAGAACAAAGAATTGAGATGAATGACATGAATTCATTTTATCTCGATAGGTTCATATCAGCTGCTTACAGATTTTAACAGTGAAATTAATTAAATATGGTTATTCATCATATTGATGGAGTGGTGATTCGAATAATTGTAATGAGATTGAAGAAATATTTTTTAAGCAGGTGAACTATTTTATTTAGCAGTATAAGGTTGTGAAGATTGTTGAGCCGAACAATGTTAGAAGGCCATTAGAAACCTTGAAACATTTAGCGGCCGTTTCGTCCTACCATGGGATTCCTCAACAGTGCGCATCCAAATCTCGTATGAGGGTCTCGAACTCAGTACCTTCGATCTCGCGCCCGACCATTAAGTCGGCATTGAACGATGTTATTGTTTAACTTCAACCAATCTACGATATTGCACAACCGTCTATCATTGTCTTCAGTGAATAACTGCCTCACACCAGGCCCGGTTGAATTCCATTGGTCATGGGTTCTCACTGGAACTCGGAGAATCTCATCATCATGAGCCAGTAATTCTTGCGGCAGTGGGCGCATGACATTTATCAGTATGGAGTTTGTTTTATTTAGTCTGAGAATATTACTGAATTGTGACTAACAGTAGAACAAAAGATGAGCATTTCTTCTTATTTAAAACTAACCAGTAGGATGGACCGAAATCAAAGTTTCTACGTTCATACCGAGCATCAGACTCAGTATCTTTCGCTTTCAACACAGAAAGCGTTATCCACTGCATTATTGAAGACAAATAATGCATAAATTGTTCAACTAGTTTCAAAATAATTTTAAAAAGTTTATAATTTTTGATGTTCAAAAATTTATTTGACAGCTCTCTTTTGAGATATGTACATTCTGAAGAAATAACTACAATCTAAATGTTTTCATTGAAAAGAAAGTTTATTTAGTGAATGTTAACGTTGATCTGATATGAATTATCTACTCACAAACTATATTTGTCCTATCAAGTAATCAAAAACAATGTCAGTATAATTCAAAGCTATTCCAATGGTCAAATAAGATCACAGAATAGACAGACATCATCCTACATTGCGAAGCATTTGATTGAGACAGATCATAAGGTTGACATCAAATCAGCATTTGTAGTGTTATACAAAAGCTCTCAAGGACGTATACTAAGGTTTATTGAAGCCTTGGCTATATGGAAATCGAAACCCCCTTTATGTGTTCAAAAACAATAGTGATTTATTATCCAAAGTGGTAATCACATTTGTTTTTGTGTATTCTATTATTTCTCCTTTCTTATGACCTACCCTTAACCTATCTAGTTGAGCTTTTAATTTTCATATATAAATGTTCTTAACAAGTATATATTTGTGATCAGATTATTCGAAATGTATTGCGCAAATATATCACATAATTCTAATAAACTTTTTCTTCTCATTGCATTATCGCTATTTTAATGAAATAATAAACATATCGAAAATTTCACAGTTAACATGATAAATCAATATGCACAATTTCAATATGTCTATCTCTATTCATTGATCTATTCATGATTATACAGATAATGAATAATTGACGAAATATATTATCAAACCAATCAATTAAGCGTTCGCGCGCGAGACTGAGGACCGTGAGTTCGAATCCCGCGAGTGGGACCGTGGATGCGCACTGATGAGGAGTCTCGCGATAGAACGAAACGGCCGTCCAGTGCTTCCAGGTTTTCAATGATGGTCTAACATCAATCGGTTCATGATCTCAATCAATCAATTAGAATTGAATATTGTCATTAGTTAACATGAACTCTAATTTTTTATCATATGATATCATTTGATTTGATTATCATAGTTATGAGTTCGCGCGAAAAAAATGTTTTAAATAGTTATTAGTTTAAAAGAATAATCATGTTTCAAATAAATTTCTTTAAATTAAATAAGGGAAAAATGTCATTTGTTTAACTGTTTTGTAAAACAATCCAAACTTTGAAGAAACTTCCATTTTATAACAGAAGTATTTGAGGAAAGCAACTATTTATGTTCAGTTTTTTGAATTTCCATTCTTCGAGCAAGATATATAGTTTTCATTGTCTTTCTGTGAAGCATCATCAGCATTAGCTCTTAAATGAAATGACCTTGATAAGAGTTCTAATAATTCACTTTGTTCTGAGGTTCATGGGGATGATGTTGCATAGAAACATAATAAAGGTTGCACGATTAGAAGTATGCGGCTTATAGAATTTCGAGACAAAATTGTTTGGTAACATTTTGGTAAACTTAAAGTATACTAACGAGTTAACCACAACCGGTGAAACCTTATCAATATCGTAGACTAAATATCTAACCAAAATGTTGAATATCAACTGTTTCATATGTAATTTTAATGAATAAAACATCATTTAGTATTTAAAAGACTATGGACTGCTGAAATATCACCCATTTGTGAATGGAGGACTGAAACCATTGTGAATAGGTGGGATTTTTATCTACATTGTTTTTTGGTTAGGATCGAGGATATGACTCAAGTTGGGATTAAAACAGTGTAAGAGTTTAGAATTAAGATTCAGGCTGGGAGTTAGGCTTAGGATTACGGATAGAAACGAATTGTTTTGTTAGGGGTTGGGATTAAAATTAAGATTAGGCTTTAGGGTATGGATGATGTATCTAAACAAACCTTAATTCCGAAATCTAAGTTTTGATGCTCACTTCTGATTTTAACGTTTAGAAACCTATGATCAAGTTAGAATTGTTCATCAATAATTAGTCAAGATTCTCTTAGTGAATTCTCTCATATTTCGACATAAATTAACCATGCACTTTCGCTATTTTCTGATTAGCTAAAAAGGGGCATACTTTAGGTGTACCGTTATGCTCTGACTCGTTTAGAAACATTAATAATTTTCATTAGTGGTAATATCTTCTTGATTTTAATGCTGGCTATAAAAGTTACAAAACTTCATCAAAATTCTTTTTTAATTCCAAGGTATTTTTAGAACTAAAATCTCCACTTCTTTCTTATTTCTTTGAATCAACACATTTTCAGAGTTTTACTACTTATCAAATAAACACGTGGAATCACATAAAATTAGATTAGAGTTATGTATTGAGATGCTCAACTAGTTAGCAGTGATCGATCAAGGAGTGAAGACAGTAATAACTCGTACATCATATATTTCTGTTGCATAATATACTTTTGGCCTCTGTACTTTGTGATTAAACAACATCTGTTTTGTTCATTGACTGAGATTATTCAGTGTGAGTGTTTCCGGTGATTAAATCAACGCTAGTCAGTCAGTACAACGTAGAACTTCGTACGTACATACATCAGTCCGAGTTGCCACACCACATTAGCACAGAGATGCAGTTTTCCATTCAAATACCATAGTGGTAGAGGCGATATGAGTATAAACAGTAATGGGAAACATTAGGGTTTGAAGATGTTATTCAAGGAGTATAATCCAGTGAAATAAATTTGGAAAGAGAAAATAAAGAGACAAGGAGGATTCAGGAGATTAGAATTTGGGAGAACACAAAGAGTGGATGCACCTGAGCCATTGCAAACGATTTTGAGCCATGTCATTCAGGTCTCTAACCATCGGTTGCTATCATCTCTCGGTCCCCAACCAGGTAGTCTACACCTACCAACATGACTCAGTCCACTTGTCAGTGACTTCATGGACGCCAACATTATAACATATACATAAAATAATAATGTAGTAAGTTTCTCTACTATATCACTACATTTCCATTTGTTCTATGCTCACTAATACAAAGGTCAATTAATCTGTCACTTCTATTCATATACTCATTGCTTAGCTATAATCAATATATTTTTCTCAATATTTAGTCTGTAGGTCTAAATATTTATGAACTTCCAGAAAAAAGGTTTCCATCAAGTATGGAATCGAGAAGTCACATTAAATACCATTAATTAATATTATCAATGTTAGTTACATTTAGTTCTTTATACTCTACATACATACATATTTATTAATGAATACTAACATAAATGTATGATTTCGGCATTAAGTTTAATTATAATTATGAATTCATAGAATTAACATATGAATTTGATAGAGAAGATTTATTAAATAATTCATTTGTTTACAATAATTCTAATGATGTTTACTTATTTCTCTTTTTGTAACCAAAAACATTCATTATTTCTTTTCCATTTGAATGTACCATCTTCATAAATCTCCTATTTAATTAACAACGAAAAGATAGAAATAATTCTATAGTTATTTTATAGAATTTAGTTTACCTTTTTCCAAATTGGTAATTGTGATTTAATTGATTCAATTAAATATTTCACAGCATCAAGACTATCTTTACGATGTGGTGAACTGACAGCTATTGCTACACTGATTTCTCCTACAGGAACAATTCTAAATAAAGTGAATATGAGAATAGTACAACAATATAGTTAAGATATATAATGCTTATAATCAGAGTTAAAAAACTCATTTAATCAGAGAAATAAATGTTAACCTCTACTGTATTGTAATGAATGAAGACTTAATGGGGAGAACCAATTTGTTATTCTGTGTAAAATTACAGAGTGCTTTCATTAAACATGAAGATCGTACATTAAATACATCATTTGCATATCTTACATCAGTTGTCCTTTACTTGCTTCCCGCCATCGTCAATTCTGTTGTTATTACAATTACTATTCGTTTTTCTTTCCGTCCACTTCAATTGAATCTTCTTAATCTTCCGCTGGCATTCATTCCATGTTGATTAATATTACATACTACTTATATCTGTTAACATAAGTAGCATACTGTACAGTATGATATAGGCAGTTTTATTCCAGATATTCACGCCAAAACCATTCTAATCATATTTTTGAATAATGTCTAACAGTGGAATTTAAGTTGAAATTTTCGTCATATTTGGGACTCGTCAGTCGTACGTAATTATATTTCAGTGTTTATATTCAACCTGAGTTTTAAACCTGGCATTTATTATCTAAACAATTCTGAGCCATTACTCAATGGGCTACTGAGTCAAATTAACCACAAACTTATCTAAACTAAGAATTTAATGAAAATGATTTTGATGATATACCATTAAGAAATATTTATTTTAGTTATAAAACATGTTAAATAAGCAACAGCAGAACTCGAGCGATATGTATGGTATCTGTCTATTACTGGTTCAAAACTATTTTGAGTAATTTAGTGGTAAATAAATAATTTGACATAAGTGAATTACTTAACAACCCACTGGTAAATATTTTTAATTTCTAAAGATTTCAGCCAAGAAACAAACAGCTCGGTTTTTCTTTTTAAAACCTTTTCATTTTTTTTGCGTTAGTTACTGGGTTTTTTTTGTTGTTGCGTAAGTAACTTGTTGAAATAACCTGTGCTGAGAATTCTATATTGTACCAAAATATAATATTGAATAAAGCCATTAATAGTAATAATAATGATGATAATAATAATAATGGTAATAATATCTCTCATTATGAGAGTGATTAGGTTAAATATGAACCTCATGAAGAGTATTAATCACCTCGAAATTGGAATTATATCATGGTAAAGAGTATTTATTTTCAAGAAATTCACTTTCATATCATATTGACAACTATCTTTAGTTAATTAACATCAAACGAATCGAATTTCAAGGCAAAATTATTTAGTTAAGTTGTTATATTCCAAATTGATCGATTGAATTGAAACAATACTAGAGAGTAGATTACTATTACTACTGATTACTATTATTTTTACGTTATAAAGTCCCATAATTTTATAAAACGCTGAACTTAAAATCAATCCCATTATTTAGTGAGAGTTCTTAGACGTTTTGTAAATATTGGATAGAAGTAGATACTTTCCAGAATTTTATCTGAGATATAGTTAATTTAATTGTGAGCTCTGTCTGTATGCGTCGAATTAACTATAATAAGAAATAAAACTAAATGGCTCAGATCCTAGATAAACTTTTTTTAGTCTTATATATTTATTCAAGTATGATTTATCCACAGTATGTAAAACAGAAACTAGAACTCTATTAATAGCCATTTCATAAATTCTGGCTAGCAGTCGAAATCAGAATTGGTGTTTCATCCTATTTAGGGATTTGTTACCTTGATGTACTGCATCCTAGTGTTGATATTCAATTCAGAACTATAACTTAGTACTTTTCACTTCAAACTGGTCAAAACTAAGTCAAAAATATTGAAGACGAAATAACTTTAACTCATACTAAAAATGATATCAATATAATATATTTTGAATACGTTTGTGGTTACCTCAATTTACTAGCTCAACGGATAATGCATTGAGAGTTTAATACGAGAGAGATTGGATTTGGGTCTTAGTGTAAACATGAATGTAAGTAAATTTATGTATGATGTAAAAGGACTAACCTGTTACTAAAAATGATTATACTATTTATAATTCATTTTGATAAAATTGAGGATAATATTTTATTGAACAGAAAATATATGTTGCTTTCTCATATTGATTAACTGCTTTATAGAGATAAATGACCAAAAAATATGATATGTGTAATACATGCTGTACAAGGTCTAATATTATTCTTTCTTGTCTGATTCTTTAAACAAACAACTATGTATTGAGTATATTTTCTTTAAATGGGATCACTTATATTACTAAATAGTTTAAGTAAAATCTCATTTATACACAAGTTTCAAAATGTTAATTATCAACTTAAATAAAGAAATAACAAATATCATAGTAAAATAACATGAATTCATTTATAAATCAATAATATATTCGTAATATCTCAATGAGTAGAAAAATTAGATTTTCTGAAGAAGTGGCTTACACTAAGTCACGAAACGTTAGAAAATCTAATTTTTCTACTCATTGAGAATTCATTTATTTCGTAGATTCACCTCAACTTTTATAACTTAAAACCATAATATCAATGAATAAAACAAATGTACATATCTTTCAGCAGAATTGTCTAGAACAGATTGAGTTAAAATACGGAGATAGAATAATATTAAGTAACTATAATACCAAAGGAAATAAAATTATTTAAATGTTCACTTATTTATAGGTTAAATGTATAAATATTCTAGGAGAGTATGGAAATTTAAAAAAATGTATTTTCTTCTCGAAACAGAAGATAAATTATGTAATAGAGACTAGTTGCATCAAGCTCAGAAGTAAGGATTAAAATACTAGAATTTCGATTAAAGTTTATCGTTTAAAGTTGTAAGCAGCTGAAGAGAATCCACGAAATAAATAAATGAATTCATATTATTCTGCTAGGATATTTGCTGTTCTTTTATACAAATTTATAAATGGGAAAAGTTGTATGAAATTTGCTAATTATCGGTTAATTGTTATATTCCGATAAGAATAATGAATGATAATTTTTGCGATCCATTTATGGACCAAGACTATGAGTATATTTTTATCGTATAATTGTTATGTAACTAAACTGTTCATATTCATGTCCCTATTATTATAAGCTTTGATCTAATCCATAGGCTATTACTATACGATTTACTATTCTTTAGTTATGGCCTGTCTATTAATTAATATCTCCCTCATTCACAGCCACATCTGGCTAACTTGTACAAATGTTGTTTCATATTTTATTGGTACGCTATGGTCTGTTTGATTGGTGTATAAACCCCGTGTGTTTGAAATAAATGATTCATATTGCAGAGGCTGAGATTAGTGTTCTGGACTTAACTGTCTGGGTTAGACAGGAAACGAGACCAATCAGGACTTTAGGCTGATCGCACGTGTTTTATGAGTCACTGATTCCCTCGATAATTCGCTACTCTCTGATTGGTGGTATCGTTGCGATATACAATAAACAGGGCACACAGGTTCACAAGTTATAACATTAATATCACATCATGGTCGCTATAGGAAACATAACAGAAAACAAGTTATTTCCTTCATGTACTACATTTTTGCAATGTCTTTGATAGCATTAAGTATTACTAAATAGATACAATATTGGAGCATCTCTTACAACCACTTACTTTCAAGCCAACCATTTAATGCTCTATCATAGTAGAGTTAAGAGTTTGTCATTTGGATATTTCTAATCACAAAACCCCGATATTAAAAGCATGACCAACATAACGAGTCTCTTTGTAGTTACTTTGTAGCAAATAAGATACATGATGTGTACACCTTTGTCCTATTTTTGATTAACAAAAGAAACATCTAATCCGGTTCTAATCAAAGTTTGACTTTTTCTTTTTGTCAATGAAACTAATATTCATAACTTTTTAAGACTATTTAATGTTTGGTTCATTTTCATTAAAGCATAATACAGAAAGAAGGAAAGAAACAAACAAACGAAAAAGAAATCAAATCACTTCTTACCCATATCTATGAAGTACAATTATATGTAATAATGATGGCCATAATTTATAAGAATTTTTAATAATTTTCTCCATTTCTAAATAAGTCATTTTCAAATAACATTCATATTTCAATGCTTGTACAATTCTTTCTTGATCATATTTTCTAGTAATCCCTTTGAATTTTGTCAAATGATAATGTTTATCACTTACCGAAAAATGTAGAAACAGCTCCAATCGAAGAATCATTGATTAAATCAAATACATTGGAATATTCGATTGGTTCAATAGATATTTTGATAAAGTATTGAGAATTCTTTACATAAACAGTAGATAGTACTTACCATGATATGGGTTGTTTTTTTTTCTAACCTCCACTAATCGGTGGTAAAATAGCAAGTTCTTCAATCTCTTCAATGGATAGTTGATTTACACTTGTATTAATATCTGTATACTCCCAATCTATTGCAACTGTTAAAGAATCTTTAAGGGGTTCCAATCTGATGAATAAATATCATTTGTATTGAATTACTTGACTAATTGTTCAATAATGATATCTTTCAATGTTTTGTTAGTACACGATACAGGAAATTGTATTGTAATTTCTTTGCAGCCAACTAATTCACTAGCTTCTCCGAATAATAAACTTTCTTATTGCATACAGTCATTCAGTTCGCATTCACATACGCTTACAATAATACAAAGTACACAATAAATCAACCATATATTTCATTTTACACAATAACTTGTTCTTAAATCAATTCCAACTATGTTTTTATTGGTAGGGTGTTAGTTGTCAAATATGTAAATAAATTAATTTGACCAATACCGTTCAAGATTATCTGTATGGTTATCAATGTAATGATTAGTCTGAAGTGAAATAATTCAGAATAGATTAGAAAGGTTATTAGGATTGTAGTTTCTTAAAAACATATTCAAAGTATAAGCAAAGATGGATGGTGGCTCTCAGTGGAATCCAGAATGCTAGTTCCACTCTATATGGGACTCGCCAGTTAGATGTAACTGTATCCCAGAGTTGATATTCACTCTAAGACTCGAACCCAGTATCGTTCGCTTCAAACGTCATCGCGTTTGTAAATTAATTTTAACCAAAGAACGAAATAATCAGGTTTCAGATAGCGAACCCTGAAGTTCAGCTAGAAATATATTCACCCATTTGCCTAAATAATCTCGCATCATAGTTTATGTCAGTTTGTGATGAAAACTATAACTGTAGCTTATATTAGCTGCTAACTGTAGCCCCTAGTTATTATTCACTACAATAATCCATACCCCTATTTTGAGCTGAATAATTGGCTGTAGTTTCTCAAGGTTACTTCTATATTGTTCTAAGGTTCCTTGTAAGTATAGTTTCAGCCCTCAATGCTGTCGATAATTCAATATTATCGTGATTGGAATAGAACATGATGCTGTAGATAGAGTCTGTTAAAACATTTAGTCAGACAATAAAATATGAAATGATTATTTCATGTAAATTTTCATCTATCGAAGATTTTCGAGCACTTACTAGGGATCGTGTACTCATTTTAGAAGTATCAACTGGTACACTGTGGAATTTAGAGTATATGACCTTCAAGGTCAATGACATATAGCGAAAATCTGTTTCATAATCAGCATTTTCTAGAACGAATTCGTAACTGTAGAAAGTGATGAGTTATCAGATAAAGTATTGATTAATATTATGATTTATATTAGTGATACAATTAGTGAGAAAGTATCATCATAAAATCGTCGAATGAGAAATAGTGAACTTGTAATATCTTCATTGAGTGCAATCTTGGATGTCTTCTAATGGTCTTAAAATTTTTACATGTTGAGATTTTGTTTGCATGTTTACTGATTAGTTGAGAATTTTCAACACAATTCTTCCAAAGTTTATTACTTGTCATGTAGCTTCAAGTTTTGTTTGACTGCATTGCTCTATCTGAAATAAATTTTTCACTAAACGTTCGAGTTTGTCTTTCTGATTTTACTTCGTCATGTATTCTTGATCCGGCAATGTAACTGGTTAGAGAAAACGTACAGAATTAGTTAAGAATCTTTAACATTAGGAATGAAATAAAGTTTCTAGAAGCTGAACACTAAAAGTCAGTACATAAAGCTTGTGGATAAAAGGATTAAACTGAGTGATAACATTCTAAGATGGAAGAGATTTTCTGATATGTACTCTATGTAACACTCCACTATTTCAAAGAAATTTCTACTGAAATATTAAATGACAAGTCTCTTAATGTAGTGTAATTTTCACCCTTGGTCTAATTATCGACGTGTTTTCTGTTTTCAAAGTTGGACAAACGTTGGTATTATCGTACTTCTGTGATTAGGGTAGATTTAAAGTCAAATATTGTTTTGAGAAAGATTAACTCATGAGAACAGGGTCTAGACTGAGGTGTTCGCTGTTCATACACTCTGTAAATAAAGTTGTACACCAGAATCACAGATGAAAGTTGAGCTGATATTGAATTTAATAAACGGGCAGATGCTATAGTTAAGATCTGACGTGTTGCTTCTGTTGATGAAGCTACTCAATCTTATATTTTATTGGTTACTTTCTACTATATACCTAGTAGTTTGTCGGGAACATGACTGTGCTCCTATGGCTCTTTGTCAGAACTTGTTTCGTATAACAGTTACCTACAATTTGCGGCATGATATTCTGTACATCTCCAAGTCTTGTCAATAATTACTCGCTTTTCGGAAGGTGTAGCTATTCACTACTAAAACACGGCGCTAGGGTTATTTTTACCGTATTCTAGTCCCATTCTGGCGAGGTACAATAAATTTACAACACGGAACGTAGTTCATTGCTTTAATATATATTTACACTATTTTGAATTCAAAAAACATTCATTTCAAAACAAATAGACATTGATTTATTTTACATACAGTCACGTTCACAACAGTTAGTCATCTACAATTTAGTGTAATATCTTTACATTTTGCATTGTTTGCAACTGGAATCAATACCTAACTAAATCACTTCTAGACGAATTTTTATTTTCGTCGTTTCGCCTTTATTGATTTGGACCCTCGTGACATTCATCATTGATTCACTGTTTTTGAACAGAGCAAGAAAAACTAGGTTAAGAAGATAAAATTAATTCACTATTTCTCATCAGCTGCATACAATCTAGAATTACAATTCTCAATATACAATATAATGTACATTGGTTTGTGAGGTTTAGATAAATGTTCGAGACTTGAACAAAATCATAATAATAATGAGAATGGGACAGGTGTATGAACAAACATAGTTAAGATCGATGCGTATTTATATATTGGAAAGTAATAATGCAATGTAGAGAGAGTGTTGTGGTTACCAGTAATCATAATTATATAAGGGTAAAGCAATTATTAAGTGATTGGTTAATCCCTTAACATGACACGAAATAAAGTAACTTCGTGTGATCAATAGGGTTATATGAGAAACTACTATCAGAAGAAAAAGGAGGAGGTTGAAAAAATATATATACTTAGCTAATATAATTGTGATATTTTGTTGTACCATTAAATTGTCCTTTAACAACTTTCCCTTATTGATATGTACCCTAATCATAGTAAAGCACCTAACGTATGACTGTAAAGTATCGAAATGAGATCGTAAACTGAAGTCAGTGTTTGGGACAATACAAAAAAACCTACTCACATATCTAATTAAGTAGTTTAGAGTTTTAGGTTTAATTTGAAATGGATAACTGAGTTTTGTTTCAAACGTACACTTGTTTTGAAAAAAGATTTATTTAAAAGTTTACCAATTTTTAAGTCGTCTTACTTCATTACATAAGTAAGATGCGTCAAGTTGGTAATGTTCCCATCAAATTTCACTTGAATAATTAAAGTGACTACAAAATCATCTTTGAGATTTAATTTTTCAGTACATTGTTGTCCTACAATATTTTCCTGTTGTTTAATTCTCTTTAAGTTTCTGTCTAATTTTCACACTAATCAGGTTACAAAATAAGAGCAAACTACGCACTTCTGGATGCTATCTGCTAAAGATGATATGTTACTGTAGACCATAGCTAGTTAACGTAGGGACTTGACGCCTATAAATGTAGCAGGTTGATGGATCGAAATCTTCAGTCTGAACTACTAAATAATATCATCACCACTCAAATACCAAATGTAATAGATAACCTGGCATCAAAATCTGCGCTTAAAAATATGATTTTTGTGATCAACTGCTAAAATATCTGTAAATAACTAGGTTTACTAAATGATCAGTCCCGTATTTTTATTTTAACAGAAGTAGACTTGAGTAAAGAGAAGGTATGGTCGGAAAAACCCGAGGGAATAAAATGGTTTTGTTCCTATTTCTCTGTTATGTTCAATGGTGTTTTGCATAGACTACTCAATTTCATCTACCTAATCAAGAGCAATATGTACTCATATCTTCTGAGAATTTTATAACTGTCCAATAGTTGCGATAAAGTATGTATAACTACGAATTCAAATAAAGTATTTCCACTTACTATATACTCAAGAAAACAGCACAATATATTACAAGATTTACATCACAGACTAATCTTAGGTCGACAGCAGAAGAAAACCGGGAAGCTTTAGATAGTTACTTCGTTCTAGTGAGGGACTCCTCGGTAGCGCATATCCACGACTCTACCTCGGTCGGACCCGAAGCCTCTTGGGTTCACATTTGGCTCAGTGATATAGATGGTTCAGCACTCATCTGCGATGTAAACTTTGAAATTCGACAATCTCTATATAGTAACAGTATATTGCGTACGCTTCCATATTAAAAGAAAAATGACGTTAAAAGAATCTGAGGGCCAGCTGATACATACTAGCTTGTAGTTATTATATCAGTGAAGTTAAATTCAAAAGTTAAATAAGAACACACAATTTCAAAACATGAGTCTAAATTATAAAAAAGTCATTTGATTTTAATTATAGGGAGCTTTTTTCAAGCCTTTCTAAATACTTTGTAAAGCTATTGGATCAAATATAAAAATAAATGCCATTCTCGATTATATGATTAATATTTAAGAGGTAAACATCTTATAGACACTTTTTGCACAAGTACTATGATGATAATAAGTTGGAAAGACTTTTAACTGTACTGTAACAATATTAATGAGTTACGGACTTAAGATAAGCATCATTATGAGTTTAGCGTTGATATACACTTTGTATTTGTTTGTGAACGAGAAACATTTTACTCCCAGCAGTATTTATGTCGTACCGTACCACATTACACGTGCTTGATATCAAAGAAAAGTAAATCAAGGATGTGTAAGAGGGAGTAGTTTTCGTAAACCCCATAGAGTATAAAACTATGATTTTTCAAACAAAAATTTTATTTATATAAAACAAGAATAACAGACTCATAATTTTATTTTACACACCATGGATCATACGTTCTTTGTGATTAAATGTGTTGTTTGATTGATCAATGCCATTAAATTTCTAGTATTGTAAGACCAATCATTTAAAACTTCCGTCGGCACTTTTTTGGCTATAAAGTGTACCACTCCTTCGAGTCGATCAATTTTAGCATAAATTGTTTTATTTACCACTAATTTCGACAGATATTCCTCAGTTTTCTAAAGAAAAATACAGACAGTAAACGTATAGCAAAAACAGTATTAATGGAGAAATAATTCGAATAGCCGGAAAATATCAACATTATTCCCTGAAACCGAAGTAGTTGCAATGGATTCCACTGAAGTAAAAAAGTATCTTGGTAGAAGTGATTTGGAAGGAAAATCAGGAGCACACTATCCAACGAAGATCCTACTTATGAGTACACTCAGAAGATAGGTGAAATATTTGAGTAACCCTAACACTACATTTATTTGTATCACATGAATTAATGATATTGAAATACTTTTAAATATAGAAGGTATTGAATAGCGACTAGGACGTTTTAGATGTGATATTGAAACCATGTTAGGTTGCTTAAAATGGAAGGTATGTTTCTGAAAAATATAAAACTCTAAGAGGGATAACATGCGACCGTTTAGCTACCTTGACGTGGTGGTCGAACTTGCCCATCGTGATGAAACAACCGAGCTATACTGGCTGGAACAACCGTTCCTCAAGGTCCTACCATGTCAGACAGGTCGGTTGAAGAGCGGTAAGACTAAAAGCAACAAACCCAAGGTCCGAAGGCGAAGTCGTACTGCTGACTGTACAGAGGTGTGACAGCAGTAAGGTGTTTCCTTCAGACAACCAGCATGACAGCGATGCTGCCTTCCCACAAGGAGGGGTGGGGTTAGAAAAGGTCGACCCTAAAAATGCACACCTCGCCTTATCCCACGGATATCCGTCTCCGGCGGTAAGGTCTCAATAAGTACGGAGCTAACACAAAAATTACCCATAACAAGGTCGTGTGTGACCGACCTCAAGCAGTTGTCCCTTGGGCACTGCGGTCACGCTCTCAGGTCACTAAGACCACCTCTAATCCAATTTCCTTTTCAGGTACCTCCAGAAGAACCCTTCCACGGTGTGGGCAACCGGGAAGTGATAACCGCCCTCATACCTCTAACAGCACTCAAGACCACTGTATTCATAATCAACCTCCCCTTCAATTCCTATTATTCCTCCTACATCGACTTTCAACGCTCAATTTCCTCTTTTGACTTCCTCCTCAAGTGTCACCATAGCCAACGATTCTAGTGCGCAAAACACTGTCCCAGGTCTACTGAAACCTCGCTCCAAACTACACATTGGAGCCTTCAACGTACGCACCCTATGTCAAATCGGTCAGCAGGCTTCCTTGGCTAAAACCCTAGAGTCTCTTTCCATTGATGTATGCTGTGTCTCCGAAACACGCATACAGGATTCCAGTGTGGTCATTCACTTGACCTCACCTCGGCAAACGGAGAGCCAACGAGATACACCCTTCGTGTATCTGGTGACCCGATGGCAAGTTCTCGTGGACTGGCAGGTGTAGGCATAGCACTAAGCATGAGGGCCGAACAAGCACTGCTAGAGTGGATCCCCGTCAACAGTTCGGCTGAACGGCTACGTAAGAACTCGGAAGGATAGGGACACACGTCGTTGCCTTTTTGTCGTTTCTGCCTACGCTCCCACTGACTGCAGCTCAGATGAAGTGAAAGATGAATTTTACAGAAAGCTGTCCGAACTTCTTCAGAAAGCTAAACGCTCAGACATAGTACTCGTAGCAGGTGATTTTAATGCTCAGATAGGCAGTTTAAACCAAACAGAAAGGCATTTAGGTGGATATTTTAGTATTCCGACACAGCGAACAGATAATGGTGATCGTCTGCTGCAGCTATGCTCAGACAATCGTTTATTTTTAGCAAACACAAATTTTAAGCATAAGGAGAGACATCGTCTAACATGGCGACCCCCTACACCAAACCAACGATGGACTCAAATAGACCATATTGCCATCAGTCATCGTTGGAGAGGGTCGGTAGAAGATTGTCGCTCATTCTGGAGTACCTGCTTGGACTCCGACCATGCCCTAATACGGGCACGCATCTGCTTGCGCCTCACTGGACGCAAAAAAGCCACATTAAAAAGACCCGTTAGAACTGAGTTGAGTAACGAGAAAACCAAAAGTAGGTTCCAGGAACAACTGAGGTCACACTTAGGTAGTTGTGAAGACGAGGCTGACCCAGATGTTGCTTGGAAGGGCATACAATCAGCTGTGGAAACAGCAGTGACATCTATTAGTGACTTAAACCACAGAGTTACAAGGAACCAGTGGATTTCTTCAAGGTCTGTCACACTGATGGATTCTCGCAAACTCGTCCCATCAGGTTCTGAACATGATGAAGAGCGTAAACAAATCAGATCTAGGTTAAGAAAAAGTCTAAGGAACGACCGTGAGCAGTGGTGGGTAACGAAAGCAAAAGAGATGGAAAAGGCGGCGACTATAGGGAACACAAGACAGCTTTACAGACTAATAAAAGAAACTGGAATTAATAAGTCAAGTGTAAGTGAGATTATTTCGGAAAAAGACGATACTCTCATCTGCTCCCAGTCCAGACGTTTAGAACGATGGGCGGAACATTTTAGAGAACAGTTCAGCTGGCCTTCAGCTACTCTACAACTACCCTCCATTCCCAGACAGTGTGAATGGAACATTGAAGTAGGTCCCCCAACTCTTGCTGAAGTTGAAAGGCTATAGTTAATCTGAAACGAGGAAGGGCAGCTGGTCCAGATGGATTGGCTCCAGAGGTCTTTAAGGATGGTGGTCCAATTTTAGCGATTAGGTTGACTAATATTTTAGCTAAGATCTGGGAATTAGACGTTATCCCATCTGACTGGTCGCAATCACTTATCGTCCCAATATATAAGAAAGGGTCAAAATCATCCTGTGACAACCACAGAGGGATTAGTTTAACAAACATAGTATCTAAAATACTGGCCTCGATAATTATCAAACGCCTAACTAAGACTCGTGAACTACAAACACGAGAGAACCAAGCTGGCTTTAGACCTGGTCGTGGCTGCATCGACCACATATTCACCATTCGTCAGGTTCTAGAACACAGGCATACCTATCGGCGTCCGACAATGATGGTCTTTCTTGACTTAAAAGCAGCATTTGACTCTGTAGACCGCGAGACTCTGTGGCAGTGTCTGTCATTGAAAGGCGTACCTCAGAAGTACATAAACCTTGTGAAGGCTCTTTACTCGAACACTACTAGTCGAGTCAGAGCTTATGGCGAACTGTCATCTGCTTTTGCAACCTCAAGTGGTGCACATGGGCTCCAGTATTCTGAGGGAACAAATGGCGTATGAATCAATCGTTGGTCACCGGCTACCATGGGACTGTATCTCCTCACGATGCTCCACTGCCTTGTGGACCAGACTTTTAGGTCAAAGGCTCGGGGTGTGGCCCCTAAGAAAACCACCTGCTTCGATTTGGCACCCGGGCAGTATCACAACCCACACACAAATAAAATGATGGTATTCACTGAAAGCTCTATTCTCGCTTCGATTTACAGTCAAGCAATTCACATTATTATTATTATTATCATTATTATTATTATTATTTACTACGTCATTTATTCACTCTCTTTTATTTCCACTTTATGTATCCTTATTTTTCGACCTATACAGCAAATCGCCTATGGTGGAAACTCGGTTCTATCTAAACGTTCTCAAGTCACTGCCTGGTTGAAAATTGTATGCTACCACCAAGTACGAGTACTGAAGCAGTTTTTCTGAAACCACGTGCACCATTCAAACTGGCTACCTTCAACGTTCGCACACTTAGGCAGGTCGGACAACAGATAGGGCTGGTTATGTCTTTGGAAAGTCTTAATATCGACGTTTGTTGTCTATCCGAGACCCGTATTCAAGACTCTGGCGAAGTACTACAAATTCGATCTCCATCTGTCGCTTCGAAAAGCTTGTTTTACGTGCGCTTATCCGGGGACCCTGTGGCATCTTCGTCTGGTCTTGCTGGCGTTGGTGTCGCACTAAGCGCTAGAGCTGAGGCAGCACTAGTCGATTGGATCCCCATTAACAGTCGGTTATGTGCTGTTAGATTAGAAAGTTCCATCAAAGTGAGAAGAAATCGGCGTGAGAAACGATGTCTTTTCGTCATCTCCGCCTATGCCCCGACAGATTGCAGCCCGGATGCAATCAAGGATGAGTTTTACCACCAGTTACTGTTCTTCTCCAGAAAGTGCGTTCGACAGATATTGTAGTACTAGCCGGAGACTTGAATGCTCAGGTCGGGCGTCTAGGCACAGAAGAGAGTCGTTTAGGTGGCCGATGGGGACTCGTTGGTCGCAGGTCAGATAACGGGGACCGTCTACTGCAACTGTGCACAGACCACAACCTGTTTCTGGCTAGCACTAACTTTCGGCACAGTCATCGCCGATGTGCCACCTGGCGTCCTCCCTCTGCATCTCAAGCCTGGACTCAGATTGATCACATCGCGATCAGCTACCGCTGGCGTGGTTGTGTACAAGACTGCCGCTCCTTTTGGAGTACCTATCTGGACTCTGACCATGCCTTGGTCTGCGCCAATCTTACCTTCCTTTCAGTGGACAACGAAGTGACTACCATCAACGGATTGATATTAGCAAGCTGGTTGCAACTTCTGTTGCAAGTAAGTATCGAACCGAGCTAGCCTCTAGGCTAGCTACCACTCCACCGAAAAGTATAGATGAGCATTGGTTGCAATTGCATGACGCCATGAAAATGGCGGGAACAGTCAGTTGTGGGTTTGCGAAACGTCCCGCTTATAAGCACTGGGTTTCTTCTGGTTCCTTACAACTCATTGAAGCCCGTCGGTCTACTCCGGGTGACCGTGAGTTTGACCATAAACGAAGGATGTTACGTAAGGAAATTGGGCAAAGCTTGCGTAAGGACCGAGAAGCCTGGTGGTCGGAGCGTGCTAATGAGCTGGAAGCAGCAGCTGCATCTGGTAACTACCGGAAGCTCTTCCAACTCATCCGAGCCACTGGCAGCAAGAAGTCTGGTGTGAGTGAAACAATCTGCGAGGATGATGGGATGCCAATCACTAACATCCATCGACGTCTTGGACGATGGGCAGAATTTTTCGAAGGGCAGTTCAACTGGCCTGCTGCTCCGGCAACATCGGTCAGACTGTCCTGCCCTCCATGGCCGGTGACGACTGATCCACCAAACGAGGAGGAAGTCCGCAAGGAACTCCAACTCTTGAAGCGTTACAAATCACCTGGCCCAGATGACTTACCTCCGGCTCTTTTTAAAGATGGTGGTGACTTTTTGACTAAGGAATTGACGACGTTGTTTACAAAGGTTTGGGAACTAAAGAGTGTACCAACGTCATGGAATGAGTCGATAGTTGTCCCTATCTTTAAAAAGGGTTCACGTCGTTCCTGTAACAACTATCGGGGGATAAGTTTACTTCCGATTGCGTCCAAGCTATTGGCTTCCGTCATACTTCGTAGGTTGTTCAAAACCCGAGAAAGATTGACTCGCGAGGAGCAGGCTGGGTTTCGTTCTGGTCGAGGATGTATTGATCATATCTTCACCCTCCGCCAAATGTTAGAACACCGCCATACTTATCAAAGGCCAACAATCGTAGTGTTTCTTGACATTAGGGCTGCCTTCGATTCGTTGGACAGGACTGTTCTCTGGGATTGTCCACTGGAGAAGGGTGTGCCTGAGAACTTTATTAACATCTTATAGGCTCTATATACAAACACCTCAGGCAGAGTGAGGACATACAACCACCTCTCTTCATTGTCCCATTCGAGCAGTGGGGTTAGGCAGGGTTGCCCAATCTCACCATTCCTCTTCAACTTTGCCATCGATGACATTCTGGAAACAGCTCTGATGAATGTAAGTAATGGGGGTGTGGATCTGTTGCCTGGAGAAAGACTTCTCGACCTTGAGTATGCGGACGATATTGTCTTACTGTGCGATAATGCCCACGGCATGCAATCCGCACTTAATCAGTTGGCAATCAGTGTCCGTAGGTATGGTATGTGCTTTGCACCTTCGAAGTGCAAAGTACTTCTACAAGACTGGCAGGATTCTAATCCTGTACTCACCCTGGATGGTGAGCAGATAGAAGTAGTCGAGAAGTTCGTGTATTTGGGTAGCTGCTGGTGGTGTTGTGAGTGATGAGATTAATGCACGTATAGTGAAAGCCAGAGCGGTCTATGCCAATCTGGGCCACCTTTGGCATCTTCGTGATGTTAGTCTGGCTGTAAAAAGTCGGATCTACGACGCATCGGTGAGAGCAGTTCTGCTCTATGCTTGTGGAACCTGGCCTCTCTGAGTTGAGGATGTTAGACGACTCTTTATGTTCGATCATCGACTTTGGTGGCTTGGACATGTTCTACGAATGTCATTCCAGAGAATTCCACGTCTTGCATTATTTGCAGATTCTGGGACTGGTTGTAAAAAGGGAGAAGTGACCAGTGTATGACATGGTGTCGTGGTATGAAAGAAAGGTGCAAAGGGCTGGCTTGTGTTGGTCCTTCATGTCTCTCTGGTTAGGGTCCGAGAGATGGTGCAACACAGTGGCTATAGACGTTATCAGATATGGCTCAGAATAGAAGCCAGTGGAGATCCTGCTGTAACTTTCTTTTACTTTCTTCATAAAAAGTGGTTGTATCTTTCTTAGCTGAAAGAATTCTTCCTGGTTGTACCTTTCCGTTTCCCCATTATTATTATTAATACACTACCTTACACTAATCTGGTCGTTATTGTTCCTCTTTTCTTTCTTTTACGCTCCCTACCTTCTTTTTGTCTTCCCATTTTCATTGTTTTGTGTGGCGCATACATATTTGGTGCCCTCTTGTACCAATATTTATGTGTTCAAATAAAAACAAAATAAACAAGTGGTGTCCGTTAAGGTTGTCCACTTTCTCCATTTTTGTTTAACTTCATCATAGACCTATTGATGGAAATAACATTCTCGTCGACTGAATTATCGGGTATTGACCTCCTTCCAGAAAGTCCACTTATCGACTTAGAATACGCAGATGACATAGTTCTGTTTGGTGAAGACGATGATAAAATGCAGTCTTCTGGTAGCACTAAGCAACAATGCCAGAATATTTGGAATTCGCTTCTCTCCCTCTAAATGCAAGTTGTTGCTTCATGACTGGTCTGTGTCAACACCTGAACTAAGGATAGGGAGTGAATTAGTCGAACGCGTTGACAAACTTCACTTATCTTGGAAGTCTGATCAGCCCTAATGAGTTGGTGTCTGACGAAATCTCAGCACGGATTCGAAAAGCTCGCTTGGCTTTCGCCAAATTACGTCACCTACGGCGAAGGCGAGATATCCGTCTGTCAATAAACGAACGAGTATACTATGCGGCAGTTCGTTCTGTTTTACTTTATGACTGCGAAACATGGCCATTGAGAGTAGAGCATACTCGTAAGCTACTAGTATTTGATCACATATGTCTTGGAGATATTGCTGGCGTCTGCTGGGATCACTGGGTAAGTAATAGTGAGGTTCGACGTAAGGTATTAGGGAATGATGGTAAATCAGTTGATGAGGTTATGAATCTTCATCGACTGAGATGGTTGGGCCACGTGTTACGTATGCCTGAACACCGATTACCACGACGTGCAATGCTGACCGGTGTTGGAGATGGTTGGAAGAAAGTTAAGGTCGGTCAAACCAAAACGTGGCATCAGTGCTTGAAGTCACTGACTTCTTGTTTGAGCCATGTTGGTAGGTGTAGACTACTTGGTTGGGGTCCGTGTGACTATCCTAAGCAATGGTTGGAGACTCGGTTGGACAAGGATCAGAATCGATCACAATGGCGCCGGTGTATACACTATTTGTCTTCCCTTAAACTAAGAGATTAAAATTACTTCATATCTTTCTTTCTACGAACTAATTCTTTCTTTGTGTACTATGTTCTTATATGCAATTTTTCTTTTATATAACCACCACTGACTTAACCACCCCTATGAATCCAATGTTCATCTTGCTGTGCTAATGCGGTATGGCAACTTGGACCGATGCATATATGTGCCTCATCCTACGTTGTAGCTGACTGACTAACGTTTAGCCAGAGGCAAAAAGAAATGTTACTGAGATAGTTATTCATAATGGCATTTAAAATGGAAGAGGATTTTAATGGCTGACCAGAATGCCTCTTGGAGTAAATCCCAAAATGAGAAAACAATAAATTTTAAGCCTGATAAATATATAGCAAGCAGCAACCTTACAATCAATAAGTTTCATATCAAAAGTCGTTTCTAGTTTACCGTTACTAGTTTTACAATATATTACTGTTAACGGCATATAAACTATTTACAATTAGTTATTTTTGTAACAGTTATAACACTGATGAAATATATGTTGAAAAGTTACAACATAAGTTTAGAAGCTGCAAGTACATGGTAACTTAATAATTCTAAGATATGATATAGACTTAATTAAATCGACACAATTACTGATATGCAGTTTTAAACAATAGAAACCTCATTGGGTTAAATTATTTAACAACGAATACGTCGAGTAAACCCGATGATGAAATCTAAGGTTGTTTTATTGGTACCAAAAAGAGGTTATCTAGTTTTTGTCATTACATGCAAGTTCCTTCTACAACGGATGACCTCGAAGACATTTTCCTAATTAATATTCCCCTAAAAACTTCCCGTTAACTGACTGTCATTGGTTTTAGTTCGTCAACCATGATACGGCCCCTAGTCACTACATATAACCACAAAAAGCGTTGTTCCTTCATGATTTTTGACTTCTGTACACAACGTAAAGTTATCATGAACGTTCCATTTTTATTAGTGTATACATTATTAACGTTGAAGTCTTGTTGTGTCCATGTGTTGTATTAGAGGAACCCTCAATCATTTATAAGTAGAGCTAACCGTAGCCCAACTCAAAACCCGATCCCTTAATCGTTTTTTTAAGATATAAGTCGGAATCTACATAACTAAGGCAATAAAAGTGAAATCCCAAAACGATTTACCAGAAAGTATTAATGAAGGGCTACAGCAAGCGAATATTGTTTGCACCAAACAAAACGCTTGAGAAATTTATGAGTTTAGTATGTTTCGCTTTATTTACTAAATTAAGTCATTTATTTCCTATCCATCAAATCTAAATGAAAAAGGATGCTGAATAAGTATGTTTCGTCAAACTTTTATTTACGATTTCAAAAGGTAAAATTTATTTCACTGGATTATACTCTTTAAATAACATCTCCAAACCCTAATCTTTCCGATCACTGCTTATACTTTTACTACCTCTACCACTATGGGATTTGAATTGACAACTGCATCTTTGTGCTAAGATGGTATGGCAACTCGAACTGACGTACGTACGTACGAAGTTCTACGTTGTTACTGACTGACTGACTGATTGGTAAACTTAAACCTCTCGCGAAAATATAAACGGATTAGAGGAACACATTAAGATATCAAAAATTCTGCTGCACGACTGGCCCTAATTTTACATACTAAGCTACTAAAAAAATATAGTACTAAAATATTTTATCAATTGCTATTGACTTTGAGATAAGTTCAGAGATGATCACATAATAGACGAGGTAAAGAGACAAATGGGATCTAAAAAGAAATAAGTAGACTTTGAAAACATTTATCATAATCAAATAGTTGAATGGAAAACGCTTACATCGATATCCAAATCTAACAACTGAGATAGCCGATGGAGCCGAATTCTTGTATAGTATTCAGATATTACACGAATATTGTGCTCAATTACTCGTAAACGTAGATCATGCCAGCGTGTTTCGCATTCTGATTCATCGGCTTTCTTTAAAAATACATCAGTTTCTGTACGTAAAGCATGCTCATATAGATTACAGAATTCATCCCACTTTAATAATTCTTGTGTTGTAAATGCTTTGAGCATATCACTGAATAAAAATTATTAAGACTAGATTGTACTATATATATATATATATATATGCTCATTTTTATATTGTTCCGTCAAATTATTTTCGAAATAAGACAAAGTATTTTAAAAACTATGCTGGTTCCAATCGAAATTTTAAAAACAAGGTGCAGAGCGAAAAATGCTAGTTTAATCTAATTACTGCAGGTGAATGAGTAGTGAGAGTGGACGTAGAAGCAGAATATGCTTGATCGGAAAATACTGTTCGTTTTTTATAGTTAGTAACTATCATGAAGCTAACTGGCATCGGTTTAAGTGTTTAAAATATTGATATTTAGAAACAAGCACAATGCATTATGAAGCACACTACATGATTAAGAAAATATTACACGTTTGATACTACTAAGAAACAATCTGAAGACAGGGAGCTTGGCTTCTCAGGAATTTAGTGCTTGTGGTGCCAAAAATATTTGGATGTATTATGTTAGAAAAGTATTGATTTACGATCCTCAATTAGTGATAGCAAACTTGAGGGTTAGGATAAAAGTGAAACATCTAAGATGTTTTTTAGAAGGCTAACGGTTATTAGAACATTAGTACAAAAGGAGAGGGTTAATAGTAAGAATAGAAGTCTTAAAAAAATGAAGAAAGTCTATTGTAAACAAGATTAACTTGAATGATGTAAAACATATGAGGGTAGTTGTCGCTTCTCCGCTGCTCACATTATGAAGGATGCTTCACCTTGAGGCTGGAAAGTAACTGAATTAGAAGTGACCATGGTGACCTGAGAGTGTGACCGCAAGGCTCCCAAGACAACCACCTGAGGCTGATCAATCTTTTTAATGAATAGTTTCTAATGGACTGACTGAATAATTTAAAGGGCTTATCACCACTACAGGAAATCTGTGGAGCAAGATGAGGTGTGCAACTATTGTGGTCAACTTCTTCTAGCCCCTTCTCCCGTTTTAAAGTGGTATCGTTGCAGATCATGGTTGTTCGAGGGAAACGTTTATACTTTTTTCATACCGTAGCACATTTGGGAGTATGAATTCGTATTTAGACCATAGGTTTAGTACTTCCATACTTGAAGCTCTCCGACCTGTCTGACACTGTCGAACCTAAAGAAACAAGTGTTTTAGTCAATATGGTCCGACTAAGTTGTCACGATAAGAAGCACAACTATCACCCCAAGGTAACGGCTGAGCATTGTAACGTTAGGACCACAGATACGACTTAAGTTTATAAGTTTAATATACACATATATGTGAGATAATTATCCAGTCATCAATTTAGATTGTTGTATTATGACATTTTTCAGCATGAATAAGATTGTAAGCAACTGGAGGAAATTTACGACTTATCTATTGAAAACATTGTTTGTTTCCTTAGCTTTATTTTATGACGATAACTAATTGTGTTAATGAAAGTATGACTAGCACCTATAGTGCAACTACTAGAATTTGAGTATCCAGATTGCTAAACTTAAGCTCTGCTCCCGAATGCCATGGTATGGTCGAGAGTGGGAAGAGTCCAAACCAATGGTGCACATGGACTCCAGGATTATAAGAAAACAAACTGCGTATGAGCCTATTGTTGATCACCGGATACCATGGAACTGCATCTTCCTACATTGCCCCACTGACTTGTGGATTAGACCTTTAGGTCAATGGCTTTGGCTGTGGTACCTTAAGAAAACCATCTGCTCCGGTTTGGGCACCCAGAGAGTATCCCGGCCCTCACTTAAATCGAATGGTTGATATGGTGCATATCTATTTGGTGCCTCCTTCTAGTAATATTTATGTTTAAATAAACTGATTAAAGCTATACCATAGAGTAAGTGGGATGGATAACAAGCCGTTTGTTAGATGGGTTTGCAACCTAATTTATTGATAACCCTAATTTTTATGATAAAAGTATGACCTAAAAAGTCAAAATCAAATGCTACTCATATGAGTAGATAGGTGTTTCTATGAAGCCTGTTGAAGAATCAGTAGATAGAAACAAGCACTTTAGATCACAAAAGTATTCATAATTGAGTGGGCACAATCTGGGAACTAAGATAGCCGGTAACTGTTACTGAAAATATAATCAATAAATACTGAGTGAAATCTATTATAAGCAATTTAGCTGGCTGAAAACTAGGCACAAATACTATCCGCCGACGCTATTTGTAACGCATTACTTTCTTTATGGCACAAACCATCCTTCTCAGTAAGTAAACATTAAAGGAAAAGTTAATTAGTTTACTCCAGCTCAGAAATGTATTTAAGCTGTTTTGGAAACTTTTACGAAGAGAGACTGATGTCTAAAAAGTAATGATCAAAGGAAAGAGAATAAACCATGGCTTAAAACTATGAAGTTTTGGACAGAATACTGGATTCACTAAAAAATTTAACGACTTTACATTGACATGAGTATATATCTTGTTTACGTTAAGCCACGTCTGAATTCAGACCTTTCAAAAGTAGTAAACTTATCTTGGACAGTAGTGGAAAACTTCTAGAGATGATGTGTAGTTTCCAGATAAAATACGAGCGGTCTTATTTTCGTCGCCAGAAAGCATACATAGGAATATGTATTACCATAAAAATAAGGCTCAACTTACAAGTAAACTTGTATTTTTTCCATATCCTTTACCAGCTTTCGGCGACACATCAAGTCATGTTGTTCGTTGTCATAAGGAGAAAGTAACAAATATATGATTACATGCCTGAGTACCTATTAAGAAAAACTTAGTACAATGAACTAAAACATACTAGCAACCGCTTTTGTTCATCTTCTTGCACACTTTTGAATTGTATATCTCCCAATAATTTTTGCTAATATTCAAGTAGAGAGAATCATGAGCATTTAAGTTAATCATTAAGTTGTAGAACTTGAGTTTCAAGTCCTCGTTTTCTGCATCAGCAAAGAACTTAGTGGATATTTTATTGCTTATGATTTGGGTGCGGATAAAATCCTTTTTCGCCAAACAAAGCCTCATCTGTTCCAACATGAATTCCACTTTTTCCTTCTTTTCCATAGAACCAAATGTTTCAACCTGACATCAATCAGTTAGGAAGTGAAGCGTACTTGGAGATCCTGCAATACGGCAGCAGCCCCTTCAATATCTCCATGGGATTCTTGATTCGTGCCAATTCCTTGGTCAAACGTGCTCTCTCGGTTTCTACATAAATCTAGGGAAGTGAAATGAAGGAAAATATCTAACTTTGCCTTCTGTGACATTCCTAAGAGCTTCGATTAACTCGAGTTTAACCGGCTCACTCGGTGTTTTATCAAGATATTCCATAGCTTTTTGGACCATCTTGGATACGGACTGCTTCATCTGACCGTGCTTCTTTGTCATTAAAATGAGATGCTCATTAAGTCGTGGCCACTGAGAATTTTCAGCTAAAATTTCGACAATTGCTTCCAGCAGTCGCCCTGTAGATATAGCATCAGAAGCCTATTCTGGAGTAAAACAAATTAAGGCATACTGTTCTTGTTTGTTTTTCGAGAGAAACACACTGTTCGACAGCAGACTCAAAATTGCCAGCCTATATTTTTTTAAATAAGCATCTTCATTCCTATTTACAGCCAGTAATGAATCATCATCTGGCTTAAAACGTACCGCTAATAAAGACTTCACTGTTACGAGTAAATTATCGACGCTAACGGAATAGTCGACTTCCATTTTATGTTGGATCTTGTCGTCCATGATTTCTTTGAGAGTGTATGGTTGTCTTACTCAGGTGACGCAATATCGGAAAGAGCGGCTAGACTATTTGTTCAATATCAACACTTCGTTTCCGAAAATTGAGTTATCTTAAATGAACCCTTAAGATATAAAATCGTTCAAAGATACTGCCACAAAATGGCCTTTCAGCGTATCTGCTTTAAAAACTGTTGTTGTGAAAGGTTAGGTGGACTCAAAATTAAGAGTTAGGGAATGTATTGTATTAGTCGGAACTCTATGTCCAGGAGATCGTGAGAAGCATTATGTGGGGGAATCTAGGATCGTAAAGAACGAGAGAAATGGTAGGGAAACCAACCAGTGAGCACATGGAATGTGCTCATATTAAGTAATGAAAGCAGTCAACAACAGCTAGGAATCACCTAGGTATGAGATTAGGGCAACATGATAATACAGACTTGAAGTTGATGACTTAAGGTTCTGAATGCGTTAATCAGTCAGAAAACAAGGTAAAATTCAAGATGGAAACCCAACTGACAAGCAATCCTACACTGCTCTTTTCGCATAACTAAGGAAGACCACACTGACTGGTACGCATAAATTAGACATATCCTTATACTACAGTATTTTGTCCACATGTGGTCCGCATCTTACATCACTATTTAGGGAGATGACCACAAAATGACTGATGTGAGAGAACAAGTTTTGACCTCTTACGCTCCAAAGATCAATTCTCGTTTCCAATCAAGATGTATTTTTGCTCTGGAGCGAGTGCTTGAGGGATTTGGCATGAAGTACTTAAACTATCCCATTACAATGCTCCTAAAATACAACACTTGTTAACTATTTCGGTTTCGAGTTTGAGAACACTCAATTCGTGCCTTATAAAGGCCTGTGATATAGCTTGCAACTGAACCATGTTGAAAGTACAGCATGTGGAAGGCATACACATCAGACAGAGAAGCATGACAGTAATTCATTATTGGCATATAATTACACACAGCACATCCCTAAAAGTCTCAGAGTTTCCGCCACTACTCAATATTTTCACTCGTCTGAACCCGCACTTGTATGACATTTTTGAAATGATTGTTGACTGTAATGACTTCAATGGTGTGACGAATTCTGTTTACACTTATTGTCAGTAATACGTTTAAAGGCACTAAACGTGCATTGGTCAACATTCATTAATCAATGAGTTAGTTACTTCGGCTAATAAATATAACTAAATTACTAAGTCATTCCCTCTGTTTATTGGTAGTAACCATTGATATAACAGTTATGTTCGTCGAATATAAATACAAAACAACATATGTGAATTAGAGAAAGCGTTGAATTAGCACCATACGTTTAGGTATTTTATATAGAATTGCTAAAATTAAAAACTTGTGCTTCGTTGGGTGTGATGGTAGTAGTTAAGTGAACTCTGACTGAGGCTGGTATTGTGATACCAAATCGAGACCCATATGTTTAACGTTTATTGTTTCTCTAACTGGACATGACCATAATATTATTTGGGGCTGGAGTGTTCATACTAGAAGTAAGATGATCGCTTGCTACTTATCCCGATCCCCTGAATTTGAGGAAATTCTGTTAATTTTTTGGCTTTCCTCATTGTCATATGTAAGTTCGTGGTTTTCCTCCAAACCTGGAGAAATGTTGGGAGTAAACTTCATACAAACGGGTTCGTTGATTGTTTCCCAACGTTTAGGTGAAGATTCTGAAGAAAAACCCAAAATCTATGTTACTCAGTTCTGTGAACAAGAATTCATTGACCATTGCATTGTTTAAACTCTTTATGACATACTTACAATCAGTTACATTTTTTATTACATGATCATCAGTACCAATGTTTTGGCCTTGTTTTAGTAGCGTCTGTTCCGCACCACTCTTTCAAAAACCTTACGCAATGCAGGTGAGTTGTTGTTGTAACAAACTTCGATTAATCCCTTGAAACAGCCTAACTGCAGCTGTTTCTTTTAAAATGACAATACTAAAAGCAGTGAAAGATATGGAAGACACGTAGCACCCGACAGAGTGCCAAACTTGATGTGCTGCCGTCGGTTGACGTCTTACAGGTTGAGGAAGTTAAAAGGGGAATTTGTGAGGAACTGCAAGGTCACTAACAGACAAACTTGCAGTAAAGTACATCCTAACAATGAAGGCAACATCGTGGCCTTGTAACCGTGTTGCAGGATTGTTCTGAATCATGCAATTGCCCCGCGCTGTTATAGTCTTTATATACCTACCGCAGCTACCGGTATTGTCTGTGTTGTTTAAGCAAACCATATTTACAAAGTACGACGACAGAGATGTTGATACGCGTGCATTTGCCAATGAAACAAGAGCTAGATAGAATTGTAATTGTTATTATGAAGGGTGGAGGTATCAATGTTAGGAAGTCAAATCAAATTCTCGACCTTCTTCGGACGGTTATTGATGAACTCCTGATGTTCTTCAGAAGTGTGCTGTGTACTTACTATGATATCGAACTAAACCTTATGGCCATAGGACTGTACTACATTGTAATCGGATCTTCTGAGTGTTTCAGAACTTCGGTTACGCAAGATAAACTTCAATGAACTGAAATTAAAGCTCATCTATGATGGCCAGGTAGTGATCACAACATTGTCATATGCAGCCTTAATGTAAAAACCACAACCGATAGGAGTAAAACCGTAACACTTCGTAGAAACTATCGCAAGGTTGATTGGAATAACTTCCACAATTACTTAAGAAGCACTGATTGGAGAACTTTCTTTACCTCAAACAATACCGACACATTAATCAATATATTCTATCAAAACATCAAAAGTATCATCAACAACATCGCACCTTTAGAATACTGTAAACCTACGTTTTCCAAAGATCTCTATATACCGGTCAGTACAAGAAGACGTCTTCAAAGACATTGTACTCGATTCCACAACTTAAATGACTTTTCCTCTTTAGTAACGATGACAGAAATACTTGTCCGAACAGAGGCAATAAGTAAACAAAAAGCAGTAGCACAGGAAAAACGTGCAGTTGAACTTAGTAATAACTCCTCTGCACTCACCATACTACTCCAAAATAAACTTAAACGCTCTAAATCGAGAGGGAGTATATTCATTAAAGGCAAACAAGTATACGAAGATCCCAAACTTATCACAGAATTATTTAGTGAACATTTTTGTTTCTCACTAACTAACGAAAAACCATTTAATGATTCAGAACCAATCCCAGTAACTCCCTGTGAAATTACAAATGTAGAATTCAGTGTACAAAATATCTCCAAGGCAATCAGTACATTGAAACACTCCTACACTGATGGACCAGATGGTATCCCATCTAGCATGCTAAAACGTGGAGGTGATGATATGTGTGTTTTGCTTCTCAAACTATTCGCGATATCACTCTCTTCAGCGTGTTACCCTACTGCCTGGAAAACTACACATATCATTCCCAAAATTAAAACAGGACCTGAAGCAAACGTTGAAAATTACCGGCCTATAAACATAACTTCAGTGGTATCCAGAGTGATGGAAAAAGTAGTTAAGGCGGCTGTAGTCCAACATCTACTAACTAATAATCTCATCTCGACCTCCCAGCATGGATTTCTTAGGTCCAGATCATGCGATACATGCCTAGTAGACTACCTGAATGATATAACTCTGAAACGAGACAGCGGACTCCTTGTATCAGTCCTATTCCTAGACTTTAAGAAAGCCTTTGATAAGGTCCCACACAAAAGGCTACTCGTCAAACTAAAGTCCTTCGGAATACACAACCCACTGTACTCATGGTTTGCTTCGTTCTTAACAGAACGTAAACAGATGGTAAAGTACAATGACTGTCTCTCGTCCCCTAGACCAATCACCAGTGGAGTCATCCAGGGAAGCGTATTAGGTCCACTTTTGTTTCTTATGTATATAAACGATATATGTAACACCATAGAATTTGGGAAACCATACTTATATGCTGATGATCTCAAAATAGTATACAGCTATAAGCCTGAGACACTAAGCGAAAGTGTATCCCAGATCCAAAAGGACCTCAATAACTTAACTATATGGAGTGAAAAATGGCAATTACCATTTAACCTCAACAAGTGCGGGATCATGCACTTTGGAAAGCATCCCTATAAACCGCGACTTCACTTAAATGAATGTAGAGTCCAAACATTCGAATCAGTACACGATTTAGGAATTAATTACACAGGAAGCCTAAACTTTGAAGAACATGCCTCCTCTATTATTTCTAAATCTAGACGGCTAATTGGTTTTATAATGAAAAACTTTTTCACAACAGAGGGTAAACTTACTCTCTACAAAATATGTGTACGACCCTCCCTTGAATACTGCTCTTTTGTCTTCTCTAATATGAATATCGCAGACAAGATAAGAGTAGAAGATGTTCAAAGACGTTTCACACGTCAACTACTAGGATGTAACTCGAATCTCGATTACACAGAAAGATGTAAGCATCTATCTTTAGAACCTTTATGGCACCGTAGGCTAAAAAACAATTTAATATTTCTCTACAAAGCGATATATGGGCTCTCCTTTCTAACCTCCTGCCCGACTATCACCCACGACCCAGCCTATAGACTTAGAAACAACGCATATACACTACTTACCGTAAAACACCAAAAACAAATGCGTTGTAAGTTTTTTACAGTACGGTACAGTTTATTGTGGAACAGGCTGCCAATGCCTATCCGTAACTGTGATACGTTTACCAGATTCAAAAAGCTAATAACCCTATTTCTAGACTCCAAAGAGCTTCAACATTTCCTTGAACTCCCGCCCACCAAGGAGGCACTTTATTACGGACCGCCTAGTGTCTAGAAAGAACAAAATTATAACACGTTCGACTGTTACTAATATGAATATAACCAAATCACAGAATATATGGCCTATCCTTTCCTATTATTCATTGTTTATTAATCATGACTTCATGCTCCTAACCCTAGCTTTCAGTCCCCAAATCTCTACAGGTTAAATGTACATTATTCTTCCTAAAAGTCATGCTTTTTTTTCTAC